TAGAAATGGGAACATCATTAACTTACTCAAAAATGCCAATTATTTGTCAATGTGATTATAACTATTTACACCCATAACCAGTGTTCTCATTGCTCCATACACTGTCCAATATTTGGGAATAGAGTTCAGTTTTTACCAATATAGTGTGTATAAATGGCATTTCATTAAAATTTTAATTTGTATTTCCCTGATTATAGAAGTATGAACATGTTTTCATTTAATGGGCCATTTCGTTTGTGTGATACCTTTTCAAGTCTTCTGCCTATTTTTCTGTTGGTTTGTCTTTTTCCTTTGTACGAGTTGTTTATATATTCCAGATACTAATCCTTTGTCAGATATATGTGTTGGGTATCATTTCATTTTACATTGTCATTAATGAATTTAAGTTCATATTATAATGTAATCAAACCTGGTATCTTTTCTTTTATGCTTAGTGCTTTGTCATAAGAAATCCTTTCCCACCCAAAAGTCATATTCTATTTTCTGCTTTAATGCATCTCTAATGCTTGTGTACGGTGTGAGGTAGGGATCCAAGCACAATTTTTCCAGACATAATCATGTTGTTTATAATATCCTAGCAACATTTATTGAACATATCATGTATAACATAACACATTTCAATATATATGTTGGCTTGTTTCCAGGCTTTGTATTACATTTCATTGGTTTATTTTTTTATTCCTAGTCCAGAAACACATTATATCAACTACTATGGCATTACAGTATGTCTTGATTTCTCTCACAGCAAGTATATCCACATTTTTCTTATTCTTCTGAAGATGCTTGACTATTTTAGGCCCTTTGCTCTTCTACATAATTCTAAATCTAGCTTGTTAAGTTCCACAAACATGTTGGGATTTTGATTGCAATTACCCTGAATCTGCCAAGTAATCAACTTCATAATATTCAGTTTTATTATACCATGAACAGGGTATACCACTCAATTTATTTAGGGATTTTTAAATGTTATTCAATAATGTTGTATGATTTTTACATAATTTCTCCATAAAAGGTTTTGATATTAATTACTAGGCTCTTTTATATTTTCTAATGCTATGACATAAATAGTAAATAGTTAATTTATCAACTTCTAAAGTTATTTAATATATTTATTCTCAACAACGTAAAAGACACTGGACACTTTAAATCCTATCATTCTATCACCTCGACTTATATGTTATGGTTGTCATGTAATTCTCATTTCTTTCTACTACTACTATAGTCATTTTAAACAGTCAATATTTGTTTAAATATACCTAAATATTCACCACTTTATTTATCCTTTCTTCTCAGAATTTCAATCTGGGATCTCTTTCCTTCTGCCTGTAGAATTTTCTTTATTGAGGGTCAGTTTGGTGGCAAACTCTGTTTTGGTTTTTTTTTTTTTAAAAGATGACCGGTAAGGGGATCTTAATCCTTGACTTGGTGTTGTGAGCACCATGCTCAGCCAGTGAGCGAACCGGCCATCCCTATATGGGATCC